CAAAAATACGTTCGTCCATTTTTGAGACTCAAGCAATTTCGAAAACCACGAATTAAGTAATCATTTTCTTGCCAAGTATTGGAAGCCCATTGAAGGTAGTTAATAACGTGCCCCGTAGTTTTTTATTTTCATTTCTCTTAGACGTACGAGTTGATTGGTTGATAGGTCCGCATGTAATCAACCTAAACAGCTACTAAATCGGAAATAGCAATTTTCATAAACGCTGGGTGTGGCCGAGTGTTATGCTTTAACCGCGCATTATTTAGGATCGAACAGGTATCATATTAGAATCACCTGGATCATACCATGTTTAAAATGAATATATTTTACCCATAGACAAAGTAGGCAATTGCCTATGGACCCCCACTAATAAAAAGCCCCTACCATCAATATTAATTTAAAATAATTAATTAAAAACATTTGCCAGTATTTCAAATAATTTCGCCTTGTGTATATACGCTCTCCCTACATGGGCTCCCACCGAAATCATCCTAGGACTCCCTTTTCCTTAATCTGGCATTGATACATTCTATCTTTCCTCTCAGAATGCTTAGTTGAACCACTTGAGGAACGTGGTTTTTTATTGTCCAAAAAATGAAGATTATTGTATTTTGGGTGCTCAAAATTTTAAATTAAAAAGGATGTAGACATGGATCAATGCCTATAACCCAGATGCTTCAGATAGTTTNTACATAACAATATACCTTGGCTCCACAGCACAGATCCATCTGGACGATTAAATTGCCCAACAGAACACTTTATTTCTCTTAAATTATACTCATTTGAGCCCATTCTGTTAAATTTTCTAAATTTTAAGAATTAATAAATGCGGCGTTCGTAAGAAGGTTATGTTTACTTATTTAAATATATCTATAAATTTAAACGAATACTAGAGGCGACTGGTAGGCCTAATTTATTCTTTAAACTCGTCTGTGTAATGGGTTGCATAACAAATTCAAAAATAAATAAGTTTTTCTAATTTTTATAACAGAACCATTAAATTTAACAATACCCATTAAAAATGATTAAATAACTAGTTTTTGTATGGTTTATTTTTATCCAAACACAGTAATTTAAACTTACTGCTATCGAATTGAAAATATATCTACTAAGTTTATACAAAAACAAAATATTTATTTGATTTATAAAGCAATATAAGCACAATTTACCTTTAGAACAACAGTTTGTTGACTGTATCATAAAATTGTATTGATTGTTTGCTGTAAATGAGATAATAAATTTAAATTTTACAATTTCTGTTTAAATGAGAGAATATGGCGGGATGATTATTTTTATTAGTTTGTGGATATTACTCATAGGCATCCCCCATTCATTAAACTGCTGTGTATAACAAATTGCCTAACATTCTCTCAAATTTTGAAAAATTATATATTTTTCTTTTATAAAAAACAGCATTAAAAGACCTTATTTATCAAAGAAACTTCAGTTTCACTTTTGTTAAAGTTCGATTAACTAAATGCATACAATAAGTAATTTATTTGACTCGTCATTTTTCAGCACATTTAAATATTTCTTTGGAGGAATTTTTATTTCTCTTTTAGAATCTAATTATTTGTTAATTATGATGAACATAATAAAATAGGAACGTTATACTTTAAATAAAAAGACAAATAATCAGATATATAACCGAAAGTAATCAAACATATATATCATTGATTGTAATACATGATCCTGGGCAAATAAATTTAAATAGCACAGATAAAACTCCATTCCTTTTATAAAATTAAGGCTTATTAAGAAAATAAATTGAACATAAGTAATTACAAAAACAATCTCTTTCATAATTCCTTTATTTAGAATGAGTTTGCTGTAGGATTCCCTATCAATCTGACTGATTTATACAGTAGTAATAAAGGATATACCAAGAGTATTTTGCATTTATTAACATAAACTTTATTTTATATAATGAGCTCAACGTTAATACACTTTCTAAAATAATTATAGTTCTAGAATAAAATTTACTTATAAAAAAAGCATATTCATTTAATTTAAAAACAAATATGGTTCATTCATCATTAGGACAATAATTTATTGATCATACCATAAAAGTTTGCCGTTTGTTCACGTTAAATGTAATAACAAATTTAAATTTTACAAATGTGTAATTAAATAGGAGTGTCTGGCGGGATTACAATTTTAATAGTTTATAGTGATTACTCGTAGGCATCCTACATTTTTTTAAACTGCTGTGTAAAACAAATTGCCTAACTTTCTCTCAAATTTTAAAAAATTAAATAT